CGCTTAAGCAAGGCCTAGGCAGCCTGGTTTCTGGAATGTGCCTCAAGCGCCCACCTAGCAGAGCAGCAGCAGGCAGGTTTCTCGCCCGGAGGCTGTGGAGATGTGACCAGGGCTTGACCAGGCCATCCTGGGCAACCAAGCGGCGCTGGTGACACCACATCCTTCCTGGTGGCAGGGTCCCTGCCGCGGCCCAGGCCAACATGGCTCAGCTCAGAGCACGGTGGCACTGGAGTGTCAGGCAGGATTGTCAAAGGCAGCGATGGAGCCTGTAAGCAAAACTGCCCCCACTTGGTTGTCTGTATTCCCTGTTCAGGCTCCGGCCTTTGCACAGCCGGGGGTGGGGATAGGTGCGAAGGGCAGCGGTTTCCAGGTGAGCAGAGCGGGGCTCCCATCATTGCTGCAGTCGAGAGAGGAGAGGGAGGTGTGAGTCATACGCTGTTTTCAAGCATGAACTCCCCACCCCCGCGAGCTGTGAATCACCGGCACTTGGAAATTGTGGCAGTTTCTAGAGGCAAGGCACAGACCTACTGGCAGATTAAGGGACTCAGCCCCTGGGCTCAGTAGCGGAGGGGAGGAGAATGGGGCCCAGGAAAGCTCACTGTGCTCAGCTGTGCCACTGCTTACTCACATGGCCTTCAGCAACTCAGCCTGTTGCGCTGCATGGCCATTCTCCGCTGCACCGCGCTGCCGCTACCCCCTTCTCCGCGCAGTACCACCCTCAAAGGGCAAAAGAGCAGCCAGACTGGGTCAGATAAAAGGCCCATCTAGCCCAGTGGCCTGTCTACCAACAGTAGCCAATGCCAGGTGCCACAGAGGGAAGGAACGCAACAGATGATCCTCATGTGAACCCTTGCCTGTCAACCGTTTCCAGCCAGCCTAGGGTCACAATTCCTACCCACCTTGGCTAATAGCCATTGATGGACCTACCTCCATGACCCTAGCTAGCTCTTTTTTGAACCCTGTTAAAGTGCCGTTGGCTAACAGCCATTGATGGACCTACCTCCATGACCCTAGCTAGCTCTTTTTTGAACCCTGTTAAAGTGCCAGGTTTCACCACATCCTCTGGCGAGGAGTTCCGCAGGTTGACTGTGCGCGGACTGAAAAGTAGCAGTTACTCAATAGCTCCCTGTGGCTGGATCCTGCCCGGCGGGTGGCAAAACACTGCTCCACTCAGGGGCCTGTCAAAGACACTGCCACAGCACACTGGCTGTAGGTGAACAGGCCTCTTTTGCGACGAGAGCAGAGTGCGAGATCGAATCGAGCAGCTTTACATTCACTGCTCTAGATCGCCATCCCCCTGCTCTGAGTAAAGCTGTCAGAAGCTGCCTGCCCATTTCCCCCTGTGACTCGCCACCCCCCTGCTCTGAGTAAAGCTGTTAGAAGCTGCCTGCCCATTTCCCCCTGTGACGGAGCTTGAGAAGGTGTCAACTGTTACGGTTTTTGAAACCACAGAAGAAAATAAGCTCAGTTGTTATTGTTGAGGTCCCACAAATGGTCGTGCCTAGAATACAATGCAGTTCCACTAGTGAGAGACCAGCTCAGTGCAGAGAAGCGGTGGGCAAACTCTCACGCTGCACGTGAAGGGGACAGGACCGTAACACGTTCCTTCAAATCTTTTCCACGTGCGGATATTTCCCCGTGTCAGGAATAATTTTTTTGGCGAACGTGCACCACCAGTAGCAACAAAAAACTAAACTGTGGGTGTTCTGCTAATTACTTGGGCAGCCTTTGATTCTTTCCTGAGTGGCCACGCAAATGCACAGCTTACAGGAAACACTCAGCAACACCGGTCCTGGCGCAGAATCAGCCTAGTCTGGTATAAAATCCAAAGATCGTCCACTTGCTGGTTAATTTGGGGAAGAGGGAAAGCCGAGATTTGGTTCTTCCTGGTTTCATTTGCACCTTAGCCCCACTAAGAGCCTTAAAATGCAGAATTCTATTTAGGTGTAAATGCACAGCCTCAGCTTAAAATATAGACACTTCCTCCTGCTCCTTTATACTAGAGACTGCATGTCTCCCCTTCCCTCTCATGCAAAGCCTCGTGAAGTAACTGTCAGCTCACCCACTGATCTTACCCAAAAGCTCTCCTAGTGCACAACAGGGTCACAGAGAGCCCGGACAGAAAGCAGGCAGGAACGATTTAAAACCGGAAAAGGGGGGAGGGGGGGAGTATTTGCAACATGAAGCTTTTTAGTAATTTCGACTCTTCTGCCCTTTCCTGGAATAAGCTCCCCAGGGAAGCTTTTGCTACAATCAAAGAAGTCAACTCTGGATCATGTGCTGTGCCCGCTTTGCGCAATCAGTGTGTTATTGAAACAGACAAAATAGCAGAGGTCTCTGGTACCATCACAAGGAGCCCAGCATGTGCCACGGATCGCCAGTCTCAGGAGTCCAGGGGTGCTGTTTGGGAGACTGGCAGCCAGCGCAGGGGCTTTTGGACGGTGGCTGGATTTTTTCCAGTCGCAACTGACAGACCCCAACACGGTTGGCTTGTTTTGAACCAAAACTGAGCAGTGTGGCTTTTCCCCGCGAAAGCAAATAGCAGGATGGCCAGGGAGGCAAGCCCAGAAAACAAACTTCATTTGGATCAAACACACTTGGCACAAAAAAAAGCCCCAGGTTTTTGTTTAACTAGGGTGCTGGAGATTATACCATCTCTCGCTTAGTAGCAAAGGGTTTTCCCCTCATGTTCACAGCTCAAGGTTCCATGCCAGCCCTGGGACCAAAATAAAATCAAAGCCAAGAACATGGAGCAAGCAGGAAAGGAACTCAGCAGGATGCGAGCAAAGCCCAGCTGTCACGATATCGGCGAGGCAGAGATATGCTTTTGATCAGGAAAATGGACTTGCAGGGAGAGAAGGGCCCTGAGCAGCTTCTGCCACCAAAAGCCACGAACCCCACGTTCCAGGCATAACCTCGATCTCCTTCCAAGAGAAAAACCTCGCTGTTGGGGTCTCGGACATCCTCAAACGGCAGCCTCAGGTTTCCTCGTATGTACCCCGGTTGCCGAGTCAGCCCTCTGGACAACGCATGGACGTTCTCATCCATTTGTGCCTGAAGCAATTTCAATTGCCTTCTGCTCCCACTTGGCACGGGCAGGGAAAGTGACCAGTCTGGCTGGAGTCACTGCCCGGCACAGAGGAAAGTGATCGAGGGTTAGGAGGGGAGCCCGGGTAAGCAGGTGGTGAAGCAAAGGGGACGGAGGGGCAGAGAGAAAGGGACACACCCCTTGTGACGTTCTCATCCATTTGTGCCTGAAGCAATTTCAATTGCCTTCTGCTCCCACTTGGCACGGGCAGGGAAAGTGACCAGTCTGGCTGGAGTCACTGCCCGGCACAGAGGAAAGTGATCGAGGGTTAGGAGGGGAGCCCGGGTAAGCAGGTGGTGAAGCAAAGGGGACGGAGGGGCAGAGAGAAAGGGACACACCCCTTGTTAGGTCTTTGGGGCTTCACATATTTCGCAGGGTGACATGCGGACTGTGGGAGAGCTAATTCCCAGCAGCTGGGCAGAGTCCCCTGCGGCTCTCTGCTTTCCCGGCTCCAGGCTGCGCTCCTCTGCTGCTCTCACTAGTCAGCTAGGAATCCAAAAGGCCTCGGGAGTCCTTGCTCCAGCTCTGCCCTCTGTGCACAAACAGGGCTTGCTCCCTGGCCGATCCAGGGGCCATGAACAGCGCAGAGAAGTGGAACGCTAAGCCCTGGGCGCAGCCCTCAGTATAAAACCCGGGCTCAGCCTCCCAGGACATAGGAACTCTCCCTACCTGGAGCAGGGCTAGTGCTTAGGCGAAGGCAATTCATGCGCTCTGCCCGGAAGGTGATGCTTTTAATGGCTTTACGGTAATGCAATTACGTGTGCTTAGGCCTGGCGCCCTGCCACTCGCTCTCGAGGAGTCGAATAGCTGGAAGAGAAGCTCTCAGACTCCCTGGCCTTAAAGGGCTGACCTGCCGCATTGAAATGCCGGGCTCCGGAGAGAGCTGGCACAGCCGGGAGCCCCGCTGCTCCCCACCCAACGACAGCTGCTTCCGTGGCGGGCCGCCCGGAGGCA